TCAATTTCTAATAGGCTTACGGAGTGGCAGTATAATTACATCTGTCCAGGGGAGGTTTGGGTTGACTGCTTGCAGGAAGCTTTCTTCACGGAGGTTCTGCCTTTCCTCAGAGGACAGGGGGCATCTGTCCCACCTCCCCTCCTTCTCTCTCGTAGCACAGTAAGATGGCTGCCTGGACAGCTTGTGCATTTTCATATCCCTGCACTGAAGAGAACCATCATAAATGATTAGTTGCTAAAATGGGTACTTAGCCATATCTAGAAAAGATAACTATTGACAGTTTTCTGCCAGGACAAGTAAACTTACACTGGAGAATGCCAACTTAAATTTGTTCTTTACCATTCTAAAGTCTTATCTGCTGCTTAGTAGGTGAAGCTGGGATTCTGCCTATATGCTTGACTGACTCTGGAGTATTAATTGAGATACCCATGTAGGTAAATGATGGGCAGGTATGGAAGCGGTGCCCTCTAAATAAAAAAAAAAAAAAAAAGCGTGCTTCCCAGGGGTGCATCTACACATGCCCATCTACTGTGCAGTATGAGCACACATCTACACATGCATGCCTGTACTGCGCAGTAAATATAACGACTTGTGCTGACTTGAGCGTAAACTTGATACCTGCATCATGCAGGTATCAAGTTTTGCATCCAGTTAGTTACTGTGCAGTAATGCACATGTAGATGCCTTGCTGTGCAATAACATTGCACGTGGACTGACTTGGGACTAACTTTAGTCCCATGTTGGTCCACACAGTATTAATGTGCTTTAATGCTGGCACATGGAGATGCTGGTGTATCCCTATTTACAGTGCAGTAACTTTAAGCTGGCATACGTGTACATGTAGACATGGCCACTTTCTCCCCTTGTGCCAGCAGGGAGAATTGAAATTTATTGTATCCTGAGCTGGCATAGACATAAATAGTTCTTAAATTTGTTCTCTAGGGTATTGGGCAAATGCTTCACAGCCCTTCTTAAAGAACTGTTTAATTGGAGATTTACCAGTTTGCACACACAAGAGATGTCTTCCCATCAAGGTAGAAGAATCCAGGCACTCATTAAAGTCCATGACAACCTAATTGAGTAAGACCTACTTAATTTGTACAGACATGTCTTCTATTCCGGTGCATGCCCTCTTAGTGTAATGTCCCAATCGGCATTTTCAGACCAGATATAACTGTAGGAATAAGGGAGACACTGCAGCAGATCTCCAGGCTGGGTTCTTGATGATCTGTCCTCCCAGGTAGCTTTGATCTCTTACCTCAGGACAATTACTGCAGACTTTTGATTTGGTATACAATGTTCAGCCTCAAATTTTCACTTTGTCTTGTGCACCTTTCTACCTCACAGGATGGCAATGGTTATATCAGTGCAGCAGAGCTACGTCACGTTATGACAAACTTAGGAGAAAAGCTAACAGATGAAGAAGTAGATGAAATGATCAGAGAAGCAGATATTGATGGAGATGGACAAGTCAACTATGAAGGTAAAAGGCATTCTATTAAACTTAAGACCCCAAACTTTGGACCCAACTTAAATTGCATAGTTAAGGGTTTGCATTTAAAACAAATAATTGAACTCTCTGCCCCAGTGATGAAAGAGGGGTGGTTGTTGTTGTTATTATGGCTTTATTTTTGCTGTGGCTTGGTAGGTTTTCTATTATTCTTGATGCAGTGAATTTTTTGACAAGTAGTTAGACTTGAAGGTAAAATGAATTTGAAGCTAACAAATGTGGTGCTCACTTTCTTTTCAGAATTCGTACAGATGATGACTGCAAAATGAAGAGACCTCCTTTACACCTTTTTTTTTCCTCTAGAAGAATTGAATTGAATCTTTTACTTACCTCTTGCAAAAAATGTTCATTTATTCATTCTGTTTCTGTATAGCAAAACTGAATGTCAAAATACCTTCTGTCCACAAACTGCATGTAATGGTTGGTGGTCCTGTCCCCAAAAGATAAAGTTAAACATCAGTTTTACAATATAAATAATGTACTACCTTTTAAATAAGGAAGCATTAAGTGAACTACTCAAAAGTTCCATTTGCTAATAACTATTACACTGTTTGGGCTGGCCAGTTTTTCATGCATGCAGCTTGACAATTGAGCACAGTCAGACATTTGTATTAAAAAAACAAAACAAAAACAAAACAAAAAAACTTAAAATCCACATTCTTTTTTGTTTGTTTTAACAGTGGATTCTAGTTCAATTTGTAGTATAAATTGTCATAGCTGGTTTACTCTAAAATTGGTTATACCTCAGGATGGTATGCAGCAACAGTGGTTGAAGGGTGCAAAATTTAGAGAAAATGCCCTGAAGTTTGAATGGTTCTCCTGTTTGTAGCAGTGTGCTCCAAAAATGATCTTAACTATGGATGGCATGTCTGTATTTATAATATTGGTTTAAACATTGTCTGCATTGCACTATAGTGAAACGGGTGTCAGGCTGTTACCGTTCACAAAATTTTTAAAAGAAACCTTCACCAAGGGAGCATCTTTGGACTCTCTCATATTTTTAAAATCTTCTGTACCGTGACTTGGAGCTGGCGGAGTAGCCTGTGGACTTCAGCACAACTATCAACGTGGCTGTTCAAGATATTACAGTTTATGTCCATTCCAAGTTGTAAATGCTAGTCTTTTTTTCCAATAAAAGACCATTAACTTAAAGGTGGTGTTAAATGCTTTGTAAAGCTGAAATATATAACTTGCGATACTAAACCAAAAAAGCAGTAGGAGGGAAATGATTCTATGAATGACTTGCTGCTAAATTATAATGCACATGTATGCAATAACTTATCCCATATCTCTTCAAGATGGCAAGAAACTGACCTCTTGTAACCCAAGACCTATGCTATAAATAAATGAACTTGTGCTTGCCTTTCATATTATGACAATATTAATTTAGTTTGGTCTCAAAGTGGTGTAATGCTGACTTGTCAGCTACTAGTGGAGTGAGGTTCTGCATCTGCACTAAAATGGCATGCTGTTAGAACACCTGTACATGGTTCCCGTTGCTAGCAGTTGTGCCAAGACTTACTGAAATCAGTCTGAGAATTAAACAGCTAAGACCAAGGCGCTGTATGGTATTCAAGTAATACTAAAAACATTCCTTTCTGTCCACTTGCAGACAAAAGATGGCAAAGGGACACTTACTTTCTAGCAAGCAAAGTCAGATCTCTAATGAGGTGTTTGTGGTTCTTTTGTCACTGGGATTTCTGCGTTCTAAGATTGACCTTGGCAATAGAAGTTGTCAAACTTGATGTTGCCCCTGCTGCACCTGTAGCTATTACAGTCTCCCAAAGTAGCAACATTGTGTGTTCCGCTAGCCTGCTTTGTAGCTTCTCTATGTACCTAGTGTTTGGTGTGTGTGCTGGGTTTATTTTTTCTTTTGCCTTCCTGGACTTGTTTAAAAAAAGCCCTATTCCTGGTGGAGATGGTCTAAAGAGTTGGTATGAATTCTTTGTCTATGGTGAGGTAATACAATTCTCCAGGAGATATGCAGAAAAGGTGGAGGCGCTGGTTACTATTCTAGATTAGTTAATTGTGGCTGCTTAGAACCCCTGAGGTCTGACAGACTTTATCTAGTAAATAAGTGGTAAAAGGCACATAGCAACCGCTAGCCTAGGAGTGGCTAGGGTAGCTTATGAAAGAATGAACCACTGCTCTTAACTCCTCTAAGGTGTCAATTTCTTAAATGCTTGCCAATGTAGAAACCTCACTCCTAATGAAGCCAAGAGCCTCACTTAGAAGCATGCTAGCAATACTAACATTCTGTAACTGAATCTGCCTAGAGGTGTCTAATAATGTCTGGCTTCAGTGCTACCTCAGCCTAAAGTAAACTTAAACCTGTGTAAAGAGAGTGGGCTGTAGTTCTGCCCCTCTGTAGTGAGTTCGTAGAGAAATAGTCACTGGTTTGTTGTTTTGTTTTTTTGCACATTACAACAAAGACATGTTCCTTTCCCAAATGCGAGGAACTGGTCTGGCCAAGCTATATCATATCATTTCATAAAGCTCTGGCATCTGCTTATCTGGGGTGGGGGGCAGAACAAGGCCAGAAGAAAAGCCATTTTGTTCAAATCCCAAGATAGTTTAAAAAAGGGGGGGCTTTCCCCCCTCCTTGTGAAGCTGACAGCAGGAAAGTTACATTTTGAATAATTTTTCTTTAGCATCACTTTATAGGCAAAAATTACTGTATTAGTAAATTCTAGGGTTTTGTTTTTACAATAGTAGAATTTTTTTACTCCACTCTGAGCTTACTAGTTGCAGCAAAACATTTTAAGATGATTTGAAGAAAAACAAAAAGTTTGTGGGCCACAAACTTACCTGACCTATGGTAAGAAAGTTTAAAACAGGAGTTTGAGTTGGAACCAAGTAGACTTTCCTGGAGTGTTCAGAATAAGAAATGCTTCTAAAAAGTGCTTCTAAGAATAGCACTTTCATACTTGCCTGATCTATATGCTGTTTGCTTAGATATTTGTGCTTAAATCTGAGGGAGGCTGAAGGAATATAATGTAGTAAAAACTAAATACAGCTGAGAGAGAATGAGCTGGATTATACTGTGGTTTAGAAAACAACTGGGTGAGTCTACATGAGAGAGTTACTGTGGAGTTGCTTAATTGGCTCCACAGTAAACATCTCCGTATCTATGCATGTAGTGCTACCAGGTCACCAGGAAACTAATTAACTCCACAGCAGGTTACTACTTAGTACATGTATGTATATCCTGCAGCAGAGTTTTTTTTTTTTTACTCTGCAGCAACACATGTAGACTGTGATGGGTGCCTGGGGCATGAGGATGCTCTAGGGTGGGGGGCCTGCTTGTTGGCTAGCCCCTCACTGGATCACTGTCATGTGCTGGGTAGCCCTTCTGCAGCACATTGAGTCAGGCTGGAGCAGCCCTGGGCTGGCAAGCTGACCCCTGGGGCACCCTGCCAGCCGGGGCTGCTCTGCCCCAGGTTAACTTGTTGAGGTCCCAGGTGCATGTTCAAACACGGCCCCCAGAGCAATAAACTCTGGCAGGATAAGCACCGGAGTTTATTGCTATGCATTAATAGCATGTGTAGATGTGCCTGCTGTTGACTAACTACAGCCTTGATTCTGCAAGGAGTCCGTGTGAGTTTATTCCAGTAAAGTCAATAGGTCTATGTATAGTCCTAAGGTTTGATTGACATGATGGTTCTGGCAAGTTTGTGTTCTGATTGTAAATTTCTATTGCTTGTCATATGCAGAGGTCAAGAAAATAAACATAAGTAGACTTGCCAGAATTACACTTACGAAAGCTATTACCATATTTCTGACACAGAAGTTACCAGGAGACAAGGAACTCTTGGATGCCACTTCTGGATCTTTATTTTCAGAATTGTGTTGTAATTCTAAGCATTTTTATGGCATACTTATTTTTTTCTGGGAATACAGAATATTAAAATACAGAGAATAGACTGATGTTTGTATTTTCTATGAGATTAATCATCATAACATTATTTGTCTTGAAACATTCAAGGTAAGTCTGCTTTCTTAATAGATTACTAAAAGGACGCTTACCAATAGCTCTCCTCTTTAATTTGCAATTATATTTTTGTTTGCAGATACTAAAACACCTCCTGCCTCTCTCATCTAGATTTGAATTTTATTCAGAACCAAATTAATTCGGAACTGAAGCAGTCAACTTTCTCACCAAATTACTTGAATTGCTTATTAAAAAGACATTAAAGATTGTTGTGGTCTCATGACATTGGATGATTGGATAAAAAAGAGATGCACTAACCTTAATGACTGCTTCTCCTGCACTTGTTCCAGTGCTGACTAACCAGGAATAGAATAGAAGAGATTGATTAGTCATACTCTCCCCCTTGAGTGCTGTTGAGCCACTCTTAAAGTTCTATGAGGGTAGCATTCTCTTTAGAGAGATCATTGAAGGACACTAAAATATCTTGAGAGCACAGTCTGTCCCCTCCTTAATCCCAGCATCCTACAAAGGTGAAGTGGAAAAAAGCCAATTAATGCTAAAAAAAAAAATGTTCAGAGAGGTGAAGTTCTTGTATCACCGCTTGAAGAAATGAAGCATAGGGCAACAGACTGTTGGTAAACCTCTCCAGATCCTCAGGGGTGCATAAAAGTAGATGGAAGTAACACCATAAGCAGGGCCAGGAAAGGGCTTTTAAAGCATTTATTCTAGCATCCCATGAAATGAACATGGCCTGGTGCTACACTGGAACCATCTTTTAAGTTGTCTTTCCCAGGATGCTGTGTTCACAGAGAACAGGACAAAAAGCAGGAAATAAGGGAAATGTGGGTTAGTTATTAGGAAGAACTTTCTAATTATGAGGTTGATTGAGCATTGGAACAGAGTTCCCAGGGAGGTAGTAAAATCTTCATCACTGAAGGATTTTACGTGCAGGCTAAACAAACACTTAGCTAGGATGATTTAGACAGGGATGATCCTGCCTTGAGTAGGGAGGGGGTTGGAGTAGAAGACTTCCTCAGGTCTCTTCCTACCCTGTTTTTCTGTGGTCCTATGATCACAGTTATGGACTGGGAAGAGCTGTTGACATCTAGAAAGTCAAGTGATATGAATGGGAAATCTATAGATCTTGCTCAAAAGACGCTCACAATTCTCATTGCTTTGGTTGTCAGGCTTGGTAAGGCTGCTTAAAGAATTACTGCCTGCAAAGCTTTTTTTCCTGGCAATAAAATAAAACTTCAGAAAATGCCCAGTTTAGGAAATCAAGATATTGGGTTGAACACATAGGAAATTGATTACATTAGAATATATTACTTAAATGTGTTTATTTTGTATTTCTTTAAATATAAATAATAAGAAAAAAGGAAATTGGGAGATGCATCTGTGAAAGCTCTGTGTGCCCCAACACCTGGCTGGTCTTACAGCTAAATAGCAGCATTTAAAAACAGTAAAGAAATTAACACAGCCAAACACCAAAAGATGTCCTAAATCCCTGATGTTTCTATATTTAATTATTCTGTTGTGGGACATACAGTAATAGTCCCCGCACCATAGTAATCTTGTCACTTTTCTATTGTGAATATGTATACTGATGGTAGGGGAGAAGAGATAAGAGGAGAGGTACGTTGGAACACAGGACTTGTTTATCGTCTAATGAGAATTTTCTTATAAATAAAGCTAGAGCTTTTGAATGGGAAGTCTCTTGGGTAGCGAGTTTCTCTAGCAACAGTGCTGTCATTCAGTTTGTCAGCATTTTCATTAAAAAAATCCTCTCACCATGCTTTATGTATATAAATATATATTGGCAAAAAGCTGTCAGCCTTCTGCAGGCTAGAGCTTGCCAAACAGGTGCACTGTTCAGTCTGAGCTTGCTTTATATCATTTTTGTCTTTGAGTCATTTTGGCATAAGGCAAATCACAATGCTGATTTCACATGAGTTTTTACTGGCCTATTGCCAGGTATTGTTATTGCTGGCTGCTTGTACACATACAGCACTTGTGTGTGTGGGCATATAATGTAATAAAACAAATTTCCCTAAGCCTGCAGTTTGGAATAGAGAGGGGCACCTTTGGATAACTGTATTTGTTTATTTAGA